AGTGAAATTTGAGGCAATTTCGAAATATCACGAGTGGTATTAATGCCAAATATCACGTACAAATTATGCTATTAAATACCACTGCTCTAAGCCAATCAAATTTCAGAAATGTCTCATTTAGTATTATAACATCATGTACTTCTATTATCACATACATTTGTCTGAATCTCTCCTAAATGGCCTTCTTGGGGAGAGAGGAAAGTGGCCGTTGTGGAGAGGTTTAAACAAGTCAATGTAAGGACTGTCCGCCAAAAAAGCGGCTGTTGTAGAAAGGTGGCCGTTATGGAGAGGTGGATGTTAGTGGAAGNATAGGTAATAGCATGATTTGTAGTGATATTTGGCATAAATACCACGAGTGATATTTCGAAATTGTTATACGTAATTTCACGAGCCGTTAGGCGAGTGAAATTTGAGGCAATTTCGAAATATCACGAGTGGTATTAATGCCAAATATCACGTACAAATTATGCTATTAAATACCACTGCTCTAAGCCAATCAAATTTCAGAAATGTCTCATTTAGTATTATAACATCATGTACTTCTATTATCACATACATTTGTCTGAATCTCTCCTAAATGGCCTTCTTGGGGAGAGAGGAAAGTGGCCGTTGTGGAGAGGTTTAAACAAGTCAATGTAAGGACTGTCCGCCAAAAAAGCGGCTGTTGTAGAAAGGTGGCCGTTATGGAGAGGTGGATGTTAGTGGAAGTTCGACTGTAGTTATTAAACGGAAAAAAATACCTTTAGTAACGTAAAAAGAATAGCCGATAAATCAAGAAGCATAGGAAGCCATGATTGTGAAATGATTGTCTGTTTTCTTGCGTTGCTTTTACTTGCAGTATTTAAAAATGTAAATCTAACCTGTAGAAATTCGGGTGGAAAACGAAGGTGTTGCTTAATAATTTTCACGGGGACAAAATCCTCCTCCAGTAATCCGCCGAAATTTCTTTTAATTGCATGTTCAAGCTCTTGCCAGTTTGGAGAACGTCTCTGTTTCTTTGCAATGTGGAAGACCATCTTCACAAGGCTGAGATAATAAGAGACAAATATAATTAACATTCCTTTACAATAACTACCAAAATGATTTTCAACGAGGTATAGAAATAAAATCTACCCACAGTGTCAGGTGAATTTCAGGAAGAAACCTTATGTACACTGTTTAAGGCATTAAAAAAAAAACAACAACAAAAAAAAAACAATGCGTTTGACTACTGGCGCATCATAATCAACACAGACAGACCACAATCCTTACAAACTTGATCAGCATCGATAAGATTTGTAATTCAAGCTAAACAACACACCTGTAGAAGTCCCTAAGGCCGAAAAACTCGTCTTTCTTTCCATGCTGTAATCTTGCTATGTTTTTCTGTCTTTGGTAGAGGTCACGGTAGGCGGTGACTAAAGGAGGTATTAAATTCTCTAGCCAAGGCATAACGTCAGAGTCACCACCACAAATCCCTCTATAAAGTTAAAAAAACAATGTATAAAATAATAATCCCGCGAACACCTTCATGAGATATTGCTAAAAACTAGGGAATCGACTGGAGTCGTACAATTTTTGAAAGACAATTTTGGTGTAGCTTTGGGCTTTCTTTTCCTACTCCTGCAAATATATTTTTGTCTTCTCTGTTTTGCGTTCCGCACCATCGTCTTTCGTTCTTGCAATTTTGTTCAAATGTATATTTTATCCTATTCTTATCTTAGTATTGTAACCGTGGTGAAAGAGATTAAATAAATAGACTGCATAGTCATCATGCCCGACAGTTCCCTAACACCTTTGGAAAGGTTATTGCTCCTGTACAATTGTGTTTCTTTTTGTAACACACTTCCCCCCTTCTGACGCATTACCTATTGCTATCACACAGAAATCTTAACACACAAGTGAAAGAGATTAAATAAATAGACTGCATAGTCATCATGCCCGACAGTTCCCTAACACCTTTGGAAGGTTATTGCTCCTGTACAATTGTGTTTCTTTTTGTAACACACTTCCCCCCTTCTGACGCATTACCTATTGCTATCACACAGAAATCTTAACACACAGAAAAAATACCTGGCAGTTTCTTCAAGCTCATTTTCAGAAGGTTCACCACGAGACAGCATAATTCCACGGTTCATCTTGGCAGGGTCCAATGCCCAGTTTGATAGGCCAATGAAAGCAACGCGAGAAAAACTTTCTTCAGTTTCAATGACGTCATCTTGAGTTTTATCGCTGTCCTCCAACAGAGGATGTAACGTCTTTAGGGGCATTTTTGGGGAATCCTCTGCAAGTCCCACCTCATCGAGCACTACCACCGAGGCAAACTTGTCGTAAATTGTCTCTGCCCGTTTGCGGTCTTGAAGCTCGCTGCATTGTTGGAAGGTTGCCATTATACCTTCAGGGGTAGACTGAGGACTGCACTGATACGAAATCAGCTGAATCTGTTTTAAACGACGGAAACACAAATAAGTCCTCGTGTGGTTCACCATGCTGGTAACTGCACTTAGTGTTGTGTCTAGTGCTTTTTCAACTTTTGACTGGGACGAGTAAGCAAACATCCATCAGAACGCCTTAAAATCACTGCAGTAAACGTACAAAGTTTGAAAGTGATTTGTTAAAAATTAACGAAGATATAACTTTGCAAAAAAATTTACAAAAGTTTGCATGATGGGAGGCAAGTTCGCGCTCCTCCCGAAAAAATCTCAGTGAAGATTCGCGACCTTGTGTAGTAATAACTTCGTCGCTTTGGACGTATCACCCTAAGACTTTGTACGTTTACTAGTTTTGAGACGATGAAAATTCGTCCCTCTTAAACCGTGGAAAAACCGTGGAGGGTATATTATGTTTATATACTGTACTATACTCGGTTGTATTATACCTAATTGAAAGAAACTGTGAAGACTTGCAAACCTGGCAAGAGGGCTACCAAATTTCTGACTCACCTGTTTAAAATTTTTAAACAGCTCTGATGATGATCGTTCACCTTGCATGTTATCAGCCACAACAGTCTTTGCTAAAGATTTGGAGCTGCCTGGTTTACCAACTACAAACAGTGGAATTCTGAGTTCAATGCACACCAACATCATGAACACGTTCTCGCTTAATGCTGTGTTGCGGGCAATGTTAGGGCCAAGCTTGAGTTCCTTCATTACAGCTTGTTGACAGCTTTACGAAGGAAAATATTGTCAAAGTGAGCTATCAAGTCATATGGTAGCTTACCACTACATGCGTGCAATCGAATACCCTGAGTGCCAGACGTTTTCTTTTTCTCTTTTTTTTTGGACGACGTGATTGGGCAGCACAGTTCAGTAATTCGCTCTTTATGCTTCTTAGCTCGCCGCTTGTAAGCGGGATCTTTGGCATTCAGGGTAGGATTAGTAACCGCACTACATGAAATAGAGGACATGAAATTCAGAAATTGTAGTAGGGGCTAGGGGTTTACTCAGTACATCGAATATCATTGACGGGAAAAACTAGTAACACAGAAAAGGGGAATAAATTAATTCTATCCCTTAAACTTTCACCATTTATTCCGACGACTTGGTAAAACGACTTTGTCAAATCTTCATTTCATCTAGTTTAACTGGCCTATCCGTTGGCAAATTGAGCTCAGTCCGACATCATCAGTTTCTTATATGTCTTAATCTAAATTAAATATAAAAGGTCGGACTGAGCTCAATAAATTTTATAAACTGATAAAATTTAGGAAGACGAAGTAAAAACTAGGGTGGTACCTTATCTCATGTAAATTATAGTAAAGACGTTGCCACAGTCAAGAGAAACTTGAAAAAATTCTTCGGGCTATTGAATTTCTTTATAGGACTGGTAGTTTAGAAATAGGTAAAGTAAACTGTGTTGTCAATTGCAACTGAAAGTTTAACAACAGCTTTCAGCAATCTAAAGTTACCATTTTGTTACAAACACTGCTACTATGAAAATAAAGTCAGTCTGAGCTTCAAGGTAAAAAACTAACCGAGTGATCTCTGTCTCTATTCTGTCTGGACCGCCAGGAAGCCTGCATGGAGGACTGAATACTTTTGCCACTTCCTGTCGATATTCGTCTCGGTTTTGTAATCGCGCTTGGTAACAAACTCCAAGAGCCATAATTAGTGACCAAGTGATTGGGTCGAGGTCATCTCCAAGTGTTTCCTCAGGCTGTAGTAAATAAGAAAATGAGACGCATGCATAACCATGGCTATTCGCTGCAAAAACAACCAAAAACTTTCCCCATACTCAAGAAAACAATATCCACACAATATGTTGTGATTTCCAAATATTGAAAATCCGATACGATGACTACGTCTTAATCAAAGTGTTTTGAGAAATGTACCAGGCTTAAGGCTGTCCATGCAACGGCAAGGACGATGTAAATCGGACAAGTGAAAGATTTCGCTTTGTTTTCGCATTTGGCCTTCTCGCTTGTGCGTGCTAAGCTATTCGCTAAGGGCTTACAAGCCATGTTATTTTGTTCTTTCCTTTTTATTATTTCCAATTTGCGGATGACTTGGGCTATTTCCTCGTGGTGTACTTTATATTAAATCGGGCCTTAAACAACTTGCGTTAGTGCAATGCAACATTAACCGGTTCCATTACCCCAGTGAAATTCGCCGAATCATCCATGTCTTCTACAGGCAGCGAGATACCGGATTCAAAATGTCTTGCTTTTGGCATGGATATTCCATCTACATACAAAAATTCGTCGTCAGGCAATGGGATACGGGAATCAGAAAGTTCTTCTTGAGGCATGGGCATTTCATCTAAAAGCTCTACTTTTTTCCCAAACGAATGGACATGTGGCGTTTCTTCTTTATCGTCCTCGTCTTCTTCACTGTCTCTTCTTTCTTTACTTTCCTGATCTTCACTTTGCACCAAAAGCGCAAAATATTTGTAGTGTTCATAAAACCAGACCATGACCTCCATAGCTCGTTTCACATCTCTAAGGCTGACGAAACTGCATTCATCCTATAATGAAGACAAAAATGTAAAAATTAAAATAAAATCAAATTAAAAGGACACTGACATCGTGAAGGAGACATGTATTTTTTCAAAGTTTGCGATCCGTCAATGCAACGATAAGACAGGTACCACAGGAATAACATGCCTCAGTCTCCAACGTTTGCTTATACGAACGAACAAATTCTAATGAAACAATTTAAAAACGTTTGCTCCACCTTTCTCTTTCCCATGAACTGCTGTGACACTGACAAGATCCTTGCTATAGTTTTGACCAAACCGTCGTCTCCCTGAAAGTGCTGTTCGTCTAGTACCTGTAGAAACGTAGAATGTGTGTAATTACCGTGTGCGGGGGTAATTCAAAAAAATTTAGAAACTGTTGATGCTGTGCATTTTATGATGGTGATTGTAATGTGCAATCTCATCGATAGGTCCTAATCCACTATTTTTACCATTTATCGTTTACTTACATAACGCTTTACAATCTGACAAATGTACTTCTCTTCCACGTCTGGCTGTAGGCGTCCAAAATCCCACACAAGACTGCGCATACTCTCTGGTAGTGCGTGAACTCGATACACCAGCTGACGCAAAGGAATTTCACCTGTTAATGTTTAAAATTTAAGAGAAGTCAATGTGATACTGCTCATCGCCTGCTACGCATAATAATGCCAAATCAAAGGTGGCTAAAGGGTTTTGGTAAGATGTAAGGGTCCAGTTTTCTTACATCATTTGCAAGACAGGTCAATTTGAAAACACTTCAGCAAACGATTTTAGCCCAAACATATTAATAGGCTCTAGGTTTCAGAGTTTCAGAAACATTCATAGTTTTTGGAAATAATAGAAAAAAGGACACACACTCTAAGAAGAGGCGGGGTGCCCTCATTTTATGCCAGTGTCCTGTAAATTAAATGGCTATTAATCCTGTTAAATAGGAAAAAAAGATCGAGATAGAACAACATTTTCAAGGGAAATACCTTAACTTAAAATGCTCTAACATAAGCAGGATCATCGTAAACAGATGATTAACCTTACCAATGCGTTCGGTTGTTTGATCAGCTCTTACACGGTATCCCAGTCCTGCTGACTCCAGTTTCTTTATCATTTCATCGGTATGCCTAGTATTAGAAGAGGTGTTAACTTTATAATTTTAACTAAAACATTTACTCCTGTTTCTATTACATGCTTAAGACTAAGGCTAATAACAAACCCAAATTCCTGTAGCTTATTCAAAATTATGAGGTAAGCATTTTAAAGGCAATTCTACGTTGGCTATATTTTAAGGCGGTTACCATTACTAAGCATTCACCAAGACCCAATATAGAACATTGATACTTCCTTTTGTGCACGTATATGTATCCTGTAAACATACAAGCAGAAGACTCACTTTCGATATGGGTTGCAAGTAACAATGAATTTCAGACGGTTACTCTTCAAAGAGAGTGGACGCCCATTGCATCTCCGATCGATCATGATTTCCTTGATCATGCCCAAAGCTTCAGTGGTGTTAGCTTCGTCAAAAAACAGAACGGTGTCAAAGCCACGTTGTGCGTTGCGGACGGCCATCTCCTCTGCGTGAACAACATTTCTTTCAATGTCTTTGAAAGTTGTCCCACCATGAATCTTTAGAAAAGAAAATTTCAAACGTCCATCAAAACGATATATAACTTACTAAGGCTATCATATAGAGGGTTTTTAACCTTCAATGTCATTAGTGAAACGTCGAATAGGGTGACTCTGCAAGGACAAATTCATTTTATCAATAGGCCGAAATATGCACTCTGATTCATGTTTCTTGTACCGGTCGTTGCAAGCGGTACAGGTGATTCACAAAAAAAGATAGTATAAAAACACTGATTTGTTTTATCGACGGCCCAATTAGAATTACGTATTCATCTTCTTCGCAGTTAACCTCATGACCTGGGTCTGTGAAAGGATTCGAGCCCTTGATCTCCCAGACACCGTAATGGCGTTCCAGGTTTTGTTTTTCTATCGGATTTATCCTCACTCTCCTGTTATTCCTTACATGAGGAATATTTAACAGATAAACACTTTTCCAGCGTCTACAATCTTAAAGACAATTGCAGGAACTAATCCGGCAACGATTATTTCTCATGATCAGTTATTGCTAAACTCAATGTTCACATTTCTTCACCGAAATCAAAGGTGCCAAGCTTTCCAAATTTCGATGTTTATCCCCGTTCAAGTGCTTTCGACATTGTTGACCTAAGTAATATTCAGCAGGAAGCATTTCAGACATCACTCGTAAAATGGCTTAGGTCCACATGATTTTCTCTTTAGTGTCAGTAGTTGCGGCGTCAGAGTGGTTCTTGGTAAAATCAGATGAGCTGCTCTTTGTCCCACACTCACGTCGTCTTTTTCACATTATTGCTAATATTTTAGGTGCTTTTTCGCTGAAGTCTTAACTCTTTTCTAGCTACATTAAAATCTATTACCTTCATCAACAGCAGGTTTTTGCATTCCAGTCCCCCTGTCTGTAGACCACACATGTAACGAATAAGGCGTGTCTTTCCACAACCTGTTTCGCCCATGATGATTACAGGGATGTTACATCTGAATCTCATGTGTATGGCAAGAATTTTCTTAGCATTGTCTCCAGTCAGCTCATGGGATTTATCAGGGTCAATCATCCCCCAATGCAGGCCCATGACCTTACACAAAGTTTCCATTATTTCACATCTAGAAACAAACAGTTATCGGTAAGTTATAAGTGCAAAACAAGAACTTGTTGCAAAACGGGGCATGTGTGCTGTTTTTGCTGACTGGGTTTAAAGGCGCTTTCCATTTGTCAGAACTGGCCGGCCAGACCAGTTGCTTAGCAAATGAAATGGGTTTTGCTGAAAAACCATCTCCTTCGTGCATACTATTAATTTTAGGATTTGACTGATCTGGTAGGATAGTCTTGATTAAAAGTGAAATTCCCATTACGACGGGAATGGTCTGGCCGGTCAGTTCTGACAAATGTAAAGCGCCCTAAGTATCCCGTTCTCTTGATAATAAGATTTCTTGCAAGCTGGGATCGGGCGCACTAAGGCCTGATACGATACCCTACATTTTGTTAGCGATGTAGCGTTGTTAAAGAAAAGAAAGGAAATTTAAAAACTGCCCCCCTTAACTAATTTGCTAGTGTAAAAACAGGAGGGTATCATGCAGGTATCCATATAAATGAGAATCTTCTGTCTGGGCCGTTACAAACGTACTTATTCTTGCTCTCAAAGTCGTGGTTCAGGTCCACATTTTGTACATAAAGTCCCGTGCGAAGACGTCGTGGCATTAAACTTTTTTGACTAATTTCTCCAGTTTGAGGGTCCAAGAACTCAGCATTTCCATCTTCATCAACTTTGAATCCAAGAAAAGAAAGGGTCACATGATCCGGATGGAAAAATAGATACGGATGAGTACTGCAATCAAAAATTAGTATAGCCAAGGATGAATTTCAATAGTAGGCGACTTCAGTAAATAACTCCTAAGCAGTGTTATTACAATCACAAGGGACTTTCGAGTAACTCAATACTAGAAGATAAGATTTTTCTAACACTGAGCTAATGGGAAGATAATTTCTAAAAGTTTAGAATATTGACAGACAGGTTCTATGAAGTAAACGCGAAAGAGAAACATTATAATATGTACCTTATATTTCACGTTAATTCCGAGCGAAGCGCCCTGGCGGCAAGGTTTATTAATATGTCATCGCATAGCGAAGCAATAACTCGAGTGGCTAATGTTTCTATATATCTCTTGGGTGTGCACAGTTGACGTCACAGAGCATTTTGTGTTTCCAAGCAACATAACGCACTATCATGTTTTATTCATGAAGAGCTGATTCTGTGAATGGTTACTGTCGGTGAATCACGCGCCATTTTGGCTCCTGCTCATGTAAATGACACAAAAAAGCAAACCTAACCGGCAGGAATTCCTCTTTCCAACGGACTGAGGACAGCCCAAGCCTTTACACCATTAGCAGCAATGGGTTTTACAGCTGTTTAAAACTTTATTTTACAATGAACAGTTGAGAACACCGATAATGTGTGCATGCACGGAAGCGTTCCCTTTGTAAGCAAAATCCGTACTGAACAGAATTTTCGTTTACAACTTTTATTACATTTTTTTCCTCAAAACCATTCGAAGTTAAATATATATACATAGCAAGATAAACACAGCTGCGTCTTTTAAGTCAAACATAACAAAAATTTATTGTAGTGCTAGCCTTAGCTCTTTTTTGAATCCCATTATTCGAAAAGAACATCCCATTCTGTATTTCGGTTCTCCTCAGGATATTAGTGTGTGATGCTTGCCTGCCAGGAGAAATAATTCTTTCGCCCTGCAAGGGACTCCATATAACAAGTGTGGGAGGTTCTGCGATACACGTATTTCTAGCTAGTAATAGATCGACGTATCTTACCTTTGCTCCCAGGACCGCCGTAGTTGCAGGGGACGAATGTCACTTTCATCATCTGTCTGCTGCATGCCTCTTTCATCTGTTTCTTGTAATGACCGTAAGGAAAAATCCTAGTAACAAAGACAGGACGTCGTTTTAAGCGTGAACTCTGGCTAGCTGCAATGCTAGGGATTGGAGAAGGATAGTTCAGATTGAACGGACTCCATCATAAGCGTGTGAACCAGACACCCGGTATTGAGTCGAGTGAACCCCTGTGCTCTTTCGCCTTCTTCCGTCCAGTCTAGTCTCCTAGGCCCAGTTGTTCGAACGACGGTTAGCGCTAACCCGGGGATAAGTTTTAACCCAGGTTTCTTTTTCTTTTTATCAAAAGCACTCTCTAGAATAATTTTCTCTATTCTTTTTAGAGTATCCAATCATCAAATTGTAGGCAAAGAGAACTAAACTGAATTTGCTTTTTGAACCCTCATACCTGCTTTCAAATTTCGCACTAACCTAGCCTCCCATGCGGACGTTCTTAGGGGTTCGTCACGCGTTCCTGCCCCACGAACGTCTGCTGACTTGAGCAGAAAAAACGTAGACCAATCACAGCAGACTTCCAGATCTGGGAAGTGCACTTTGGACCTTGAGAAATTTCGCGCTTGACTTTTTATATAGCTCCAGAACAATTCAGAAAGGTCGCATGAAAGGTGAAGACCTTACAGTTTTAGAACAAAGTACTCAGTTAACTTACAAGCGTTATACTAGTGGTTACCCTCAGAATCTCGTTGAAAAAAATCATCTCGGAAGTTAAATTTGCGGAACGGAAGTCGGCTTTCCTACAAAACAATAACGTGTGAAAAAAATTCTGCCTTTTTTCAGACTTACAAGGTAACCCCGCTGTTACATCACCCAAAGAACAACTTTATGAGCAAATGACATCTAATCCAGCATTTACAGAAAGAAATATGCAAAAAGCCAACGCTTATCTCCTATATTCTTCTCAGAAGCTAAAATCTTTGGTCACGTATCACACTCTACAGAGCTTGTATGTATCTGTTTGGCTTGTCAACACTTTGACTTGAACAGCGCCGATTGGATCTTCGATAATCTGCATGTGATCTCCAGCCGATATTTGCGAACAATGGGAAAGGAATTTATCTTTCCGTTCAGCAGACGTTCGTGGGGCAGGAACGCGTGACGAATCCCTAAGGTCGTTTGCGCGGGAGGCTAGCACTAACCCTGGTTTACCTCAACCCAGCTTCGAACAACCTAGCCCTGAGTCTTGTCAGACTAGTCCAGCATTGTATTTTGTGTTTGATAAATAACGGCAAGAAATAATGATTCAATTCATGAAACTGAAAATGTGTTGGGTTCGTTTTAGATAATTTTCCTGCGGTTGTTAGCTTGAAAGCTGTGCTCCTCTGACCACCGTACATTTCTCTCAAAGCCGTTTACTCGTATATTTTCATCTCTTAATTGTTACTTATTCCTATGTTACTCATATTATATGAAGTGTGAACAAAAAACTAAACTGACCTGAATCTGAAACTAAAGTAAAGTTCTAGTTCAAAAATTTTGACAAGTTTACTAAATATGTTTTACTTTGCCTTGTATGTCTAGGATTGTCTCATCTAAAGCATTTTAGGGTGTATTTAGTGCCTCATTTGCTAGTATATCCAGAATTACCTCATCAATCATCTAAAGCACCCTACAGTTACTCTCACCTTTGACATAATGATCATAAATCTCACTACAAAAATTCGAAAACCTTCCAAAGTGTCCCCAGTAAATTCTGATTTACAGTACACACTTTGCTCGCAGTCCAGAAGTTGGTGATTAAGAAAGCTAACAAACTGCCGCAGCTCGAACCATGATGGGTTATGAACGCCACAGTTCCTATGGACAGCGAGAGACAAAACGTGAAAATAATGGTAAAAATGAATTTTGTTCGACCGAATAAATAGACATTTGTGGGGGTACATTTTACACAGTGGTCCGAGAAAGCTACAAATTGCCATGAGGTTATATTAAGGATACAAAATCACCGTTGTTCGGTTATTCGGGCAACGCAAGAGTCAAAGGCAAATCTGTCATTGTAAAACAAGTTGAGGTTATCGTAAAAGATGAAGTCCACTAACAAGGACACAGTAGTGGATTATGAGGAACCAGTTGAATAAATTTTCGTCATGAATGCGCGCTGACCATTTCAACAAACAATTCATAAAATGTTTTTTTTTTCACCAACAGCACTCATAACATAAAATAATAAAAGGCTTCTGTGAATGAGTAGGTCGCGAAAAAAAAATTATACCAACCTGAGTAAGACCTTTAAACATTCCATTGGACTGCCTTCCGTTCTTTGAGGCATAAATTCAAAGTCCTGTATTTCACGCGGATCTTCATTAAATCGTCGAAGATACTGCCACACACGTTGCACTGCCTCGCTTTTGAACTCTTCATCATCAAAGAGAGGACTTTCATCTGGTTTTAAAACACGATAGTCAAGGCATAGTTATTACTGAGGCTTAAGCAATTAAGTATTATTTACAAACAGCTATTATTATAGTGTTTTAGCATTTGCTCTATCGAACGCGTCATTAATGCCCTCTCAACATGAGAGCGTCGTCTGACACTAACGCATGAAGAAAAATAAATGAATGAACGGACTGATTGAAAACATATCAATATCTGTTTGAAATCGAGGTGAACGGGGAAAATATTTCTAAAACAGCTAGTACTGTCAAAGAGAATAAAGTTGCTTTTTTACATTGTTTGCCTTTCGCTAAAATTGTTTTGTTTACTTTAATTGTCTTTCTTAATAGGCAATCTTCCAAATGTTCAGAAATCGACTTGCTCAGAGAATGGAATTTAGTTACCTTCTCCTCGGACAAGCTACAGTTGTTAATCAATGAGAAACTCTGATTGTTTTGAATAGTTTTATACCTCTATAAACTGTAAGGCGTTCCAAGATAATATTTTTAGGGCCAGTCATGCTTCTGTCTTAGCAATCCAGTACAGTTTCACAAACCACTAGGATCACTGGGTGCATATAACTAAGAATTATTCATCAGTGGAACTCGCTGTGAATTACCTTTCTGGTTTCTGATCGGCAGTATCGTCATTGGACGAAAGCACGTAATGGTGGGAAGAAGTTCGAAAAACCTGCAGCTTGTTGTTTCTTCTTTCTAATGGATAAACATATAAAAATTCTTATTTCATATCTCGTGGTGATGAAGATTGAATAAAGAACATTTAACTTTTATGATCCGTTATCAAATAGACCTATTCTGCTAACTCAATGTTGAACCCAATTCAAATCTCCTGGGGTTAAGATTCTTTATGTATTGTCATTGCATTATAATGTGGCATTCACATTTAAATGATATGGAAATTCCTGAAACAAAAGGTTTTATTCCCGAAGCGTGTGAATTGGGTACAACATTAAGTTTGCCGAATAGGTCTATTCGTCCTTTTTTTTTCTAAAGGCATCATAGGGGAGAGGAGGAATAACAACAGCATAGACAAATGGGATGTAAATGGCAATCTAACATACCTGGGGTGAGGTGTAAGTAATTTCCAGGATGTACAAATCATGGGGGTTTCGTCTCCAAACACGTCCACGATTATCTGTTAGTTCACCCAGGATGAGCAAGTTAAACAGCAGTGTGTCAATATCAGGTATAACCTGAAAATCGGGGGAAAAACATGTGACACATAATAGACACATAACTAAACTGATGTAAACGTCAGTCTGTATATAAAAAGAGATTTATTGAGTTCTGGTGGAATAGCTCAACAGCGTTAGCCCTAAGCCAAACGTCGAACGTTTAGTGAGACGAACCAAACTTAGTGAGTTAAGTTGTTGAAAAGTTCGGCGTCTGGCTCAGTTATGTTCGTCTGAATGAGTTTGGATCGTCCAACACGTTCTATCCGTCTGCTTTAGACAGAGAGAACGTCCAAAGATCGCTTCCGGGACAAACATCGACCTTCACTTGCGACGAACTAAGCTAGCCAGTAAAAAAATGTATGACAATGTATATTTAGCCTCGTTCGGGAAAAAAAAATTAAAATTGCTTTTTGGTCTGATTCAGTTGATTGGTTCGACGCCTCCTTAGTTTGACGTCTGACCCAACAGACGACCTGAACTTAATTTAGGTTGACAAAATTAGAGTTTGGTTGGTCTCATGAAAAGTTCGACGTTTGTCCTAAGCCTTATATTATCAGCTTATTATTAATAGTAATACTGAAATAGGAACAGGTCAAGTAATTGTTAAGTGTTTCAATTCCCATCTTAGGGAGATGCTTTTATAGTTAAAGACTGATGCTAGGCAGTCACTCAGTCACTCGTTCAGTTCTTTTTCTTGTTGGTACTCGAAAATACATACCGTGCAAGAACTATCGAGATGAAAAATCCTGGACAAAGGCAAATCTGGATGGACAGCGTGTGGAAGGAAATATTCAGTGATATCAGCGACACTTGCACCCTCATTGTGCAAGGGAATCGTCACGCACAATGATGGAGGATCTCGTTTTTGCTCCTTCATCTCCTCCGTGATAAGAAGATTGTTTGGAAGGTTTGACACCTGCTCTGCTAACCTTTGAACGACTAAGCTTTTACCCACTCCAGAATCAGTAGAGGTTACTAGGCGAACACTTAAGCTGCAAAAAGAAAGCATTAGATGTCATAATTTTTGGAAACACTGGAGAGGTCTGATCAAGCCTTCTTGTTTAATAATCGAATAATCGAAACGTTTCGTTCAGCCAAACACATCGCTTAGTCTAGAGTGTGTGACTGTCAAACAACTCAGCGTAAGTCGAAAAACCTACTTTCCGGAGCGAATGGTGTCGGCGGCTGGTCCCCAAATCACGTGCTGACCGTGATAACAGCCCTGCCGTCCTTCAGGTGCCATAAACTGGTCCCGAAGGTAACGTCTTAGCTCCTCTGGTTTAGGATATCTTGGTATTCCTGTCACTTTGTATTCCTCCAGGGCGGCCACCATTTGAGCACGTTCTTCATTTTCACTGCTGCAGAGGACCACAAGACCAAAGTCTGGAGAAGAATATAAACAGACCCTTTCCGTTACAGAAATAATTATAAATCACACTCTTAAGTTTTGTTTTTCTTCGATGGATCAAAAGTTGTATTTAGAACTCACATTGTTAATGTTATTTCTTTGATATTATAGTTATAGTAAATTACTGTTTCTAACTCAATAAGTAATAATGTGATAAAGGTAGGTGATGACCGCTTGTTCATTAAAAGTCACGTTTCTGAAAATAATCGTACATCGACTATCCAACATATCAGTCTAAGACTGAAGGGACAGGTACTAGCCAAAATTAAGACTCTAAGACAATCACGAGAACTGCACTTGCACCGGTAAATGTAGAGAGAAGACTACACAAACTGGCTAACGATGAGGAAAGAGTCCGACAAGTTGACTAAAGAGGCACACCTGAGGAAGGAATTGCTTTTTGCAGACAACGAGCTGACACCTATAGTCTTATCCATCATTCACAAAATACATGTCACGAGCAGGAACATATCAGATGTCTATGTAAGTTGTTAACATGCAGAAGAGACATAGGTTGGGTGGAAAGTGTCTTAGGGCAGGAAAAAGTGAATTATCAAGGCAGTTTTTTCCCAAGAGAAACAAACTTAGAAGAATTTAGGTTCGACTGCTAAAGGTCAATCATGTCAATTACCAAATGACACTATTGCGATGACATGAAGCATCATGTGATTCCTTCGGAAGTTTAAAGAAAACTTTTGACTTCCATGTTGACTCCAACTTTATACACCCAAGCGCAAACATGGCCAATCCTGAACCAACATGTCAGGAAGCTACCACGCTGCGAGGTGAGGTAATTAGAGGAATGGATAAAGCGGAACCTGTGACGCAGTATACTGTGAGCCGCCAACGTCTTTTATGGTTCGTTAAATAATTCTAGACACCTCACGGTAGCTTATGATGATGATAAAGATTTCTTGTGCAAAAGAAAATAAACAATAATAAAAAAGAACCAAACCAAAAATAGAAATATTACTTTCATTGTCGTAATCTCGTATCAATGTGTGCAGACAATCGGCTGCCTTCTGGCTAACGTCATAGTCCAGCAAATCACCCATAACAAGACAGTGAAATTTTCCCTGTGGGTCCGTCAATGCACGACGCCACAACAACTCTACCTATAAAATAAATGGACCACATTCAAAAAAATAAATATCTAAAAAATATCTAACAAACATTTAAGATGTTATCATAACATCTGTAACAAGCCATGAATGCACGCATGCCCAGAGAATAAGCGCTGGTCAATTTCACTTGGTTAGTTCCTGTATGTTTTTCGCTCAATTATGAGATAGTATTTAGTTAAAGGCTGTCCTTCCCGCAAGCAGCTCTAAGGGCAAAGTGATATACCTCCTTAAATTAAATCTTGGAAATCACGAGTAAAAGCATTTATCGGTGGAGTCCTTATTGAATTAAAGGGTCTCCATCATGAATTAATGACATAACTTAATGTAATAAAGTAACATTTAATCAAGTAAGTTCATTGGAGCAGTTTCATCGAAGACTTTTCCTTTGCATGATTAAATAGAAAAGATATTACGAGGTAACGCGGACAAAATAAAAGCGGCTCCAGGAAAATAGAAGGATGAGGCATGAAGTAATCTGAAGGGTCAATAAGCTAACAACAAGGTCGAAAAAAGTTTAATTTAAGCACGGAATAAAACAGTCTCCAGGTTTTTACCTCCTCTGCTGTCGTTGTAGATGTGCAAACCAGAACTTCGTTACCATCTGGAAGATTCTGTGCCCCACCTTCCTTGTAAAGGCTGAGCACGGCAGGAAAAATGTTTTCTGTAACAAAAGATGACACATTCACACATATACCCGCAAACGTACGGGTAATCACACTCCAGTAAGTATTATGCACTTGTCCTGGGGAAAGTGCTTCAATGAAAAACGTAATAAATTCCAATAAATTTTTCATCTGATACTTGATTGATTGGTTGCCAGGCACAAAAGCCGTATTTGACAGACACGTGACGTACCTTAAAAAACCATGACTTGCATTTGTTTAGCGTTCACGACATCGATGTCATTTGAAACCGAAGATGTGGCCTAAAACATGCGATCTAAAACAAGTATTACCTCTGGGCGCCAGAATCAGATTTGGTCTTCCCTTTTTCAAGTAGTTAGGAAACGGTCGCGTTGCTGTTCTTTCTTCTAAGGAAAGGAAAACCAATAATAACATTTGTTTTTGTTCTAATCTAAATATTAACTGGTTTTTGAGGAAAATTCCAAGTATATTTTGTAACGAAACAAAAAACAACCGTACCCACCACCAGAAAATGACGAACAAAAAAATCAAATCAGTGAGTTAACATAAGTGAGTTAAGATTAAATATACCAAATAAAATGCAAATAATGTTACTATTTACAAAACGGCGAAAAAGTTAGACTCGCGGCTTTCGGAAAAAAAATCCATTAGTGGGTGATTTGGGACTGCCGACGCCCGGGTGCCGACGCGCTAACCACTTGGCCATGCTTTCTTCTCGTATTTAAGTGAGCAGTGGATGATTACCATTGGAAGCCAAATGGGATAGGAAAACAGCGACTTCTTCCAAGGTTAAGTAACTGCCTCCTCTTTGTTCGTCAAACGAGATCTCTTCTAATGTGCTTGAGTCTACCACTTCTACCACTTCAGAATTATTATCGTCTGATGCGCTAATGAAAAATAACGGGTTCAAAATTCGCAAATGAATAACTCGCAACCGTTCGAGACAACAATGATTTACAAACAACAGAAACATTGCACGTGCACTTAAACTTGCAGTTGCTGGAAGGAAAAATAAATTATAGGCTTGAGAGAGCTTAAAGAAGAACCTGATAAACTTACAAAGAATTGGCATCCATCAGTTAGGTAAGGGTTATTCGTGACGCAAAGTAAGAATACCATGACTCCTCAATTTTTACAAATAAAGAAGTTTGTCAATCACAAAAATAACAGTACATAATAAACTGTTACCTCAGTAGGTTAAGTTTAGTTTTGTGTTGCCAAAATGTGTGTAACAGAACAAAAATCTGCAAACGTTGAACCCCACCCCAAGGAAAATACTCCCAGGCTTACACCCCACCACCGCCAGAATAAAAACCGTTCCTGACCTCATAGAACGGTAGACACAGATTGTGAGAATTACCGAAAATATCGTAAATGTTTCTGGAATGAATTTAAAAAATATGAAGTGTGAGATCAAGCGAACTAGCTCTCATAAGTGTATGAGGTTATGGGTTGAGCCAAAAAATAATAAATACCTGATGTCTTCTTCTTCCGAATCTTCTGAGCTCTCCGAAGACTCTAATCCTGCAACCTCTTTTACAATGACTCCAAATAAGGGATTCTTTTTCGCCTGATCGCAGAGATCATCTATCAGATCATCCTTGGTGTTGTTTTGTACACACCAAATCACGAGGTCGGCTTCACTGCTTTGCCAGTTGTCCACAAGGGCAGCTAAGGCTAGACGTTCAGCCTCGGCATAATTCAACTTCTCAACACGTTTCAGAAGAAGTTCGAATTTTTCTTCAATTTCAACTTGTTCACCTGGTGCTTGATGATAATCAACCACATGGCTGCCAGGCAATGGGGGTTGGTCTGAAACTCTATCGTCAAAGTTTTCACTCTCTTGCATTACCCCAGCTTCAATTAAAACATCCTTTAAGGCCGACGGAGAAATACCGGGAGCAATTTTTTCAAGAAGTGCAAACACTTGAAAGTTGAGAAAATCTATGTTAGCGCTGCGTTTAATGGCAGCGAGTTCCTTGCGCAAAAACAGTAATTGCTGTGTTGTGAAATAGTTAAGCTCACGATACTTCATTCTCTGTTCGTGCAGGTGCACTCTGTAGGCATCATAGCGAAGTTCGAATTCCTGGGCTTTGGAGATGATGTCATTTATGACGTCTTTACCCATAATGCTGCTTTTACATTTATATTCCTTGTTCCAGTCGAGGTAAGACACATCTCCAATTCCGCAGAGTTTAACATACGCCTGACCCAGTCGAACGGCACCTTGCAAAATCTGACAAAGAAGTAGCTGACTTGTTATTTCCAGGCATCGTAAAGCGATGTAGACACTAAATTGAGTTTCAAACTAGGATCGACGTGAAGGTGCACTAAGACCTTCAATTTCTTACTCATACCTAGAATGCCAGATTAACCATAAACGAGTATTTAAGATGGGGGACATTTAACGATTGCCAGACATTGATCACTGTTCAAACTCTAAACAGAGAATGTAATCGTCCAAAGAAATTGAGTCGCCTGACGATTGGTGACAGTGAAGTAATTTGTGTTTAGCAAGGAAAGTAAAAATCTTACCTGGCCAAATTTGTCCACATCATCCTGCCCAGCAGAGCGTTTACCAGAGATGAGGGCTAATTTGCTTTGCAGTTCTTGAAGTTTCTCAAGACTGTACTCTCTGAAAGCCGGGGTTGCGTTGGCACCGCCCTCTAAAGGAAGTATCAAATTGACAACAGAATGAACTGTTTTCTTGTCAGAAGGCTGTGATGCGGTCGTGGAGTCCAGTTGACCAATGCAATAAACGCCTCTTTCATTAATGTTCTGGGCCAATTCGAGAGAGGACATGGCATGAGCATCTTTTACTCCCTTGAGCCACTCTAGATGAGCAGTGATACCCTCCTAGAAAGGAAAAGCGCAACTTAGGCCAGTTATGCATATCTTGATCATGCAGAAGTTAATCGCATTAGTAAAAATCTGGTTAATTTAAAACAGAGTTAAGTTCTGGAAATACTCTGTCGCCAAAATTCATTAATTTGACAGCGGAAAAGCAAATAGAGAATATGGACTGCAAATTGCTGGTTTGCACGTGACGTCACGGCGGTTATGTTGGTGGTGTAATAGGGTTAAGAAAAAAAGCATTTCCCTCCTCTGGGAACTAAACCCTATTTTCATGTAATTCTTCTAGAAAAAATTGTATTATATTGACCACCAAAACACCATCAGCATAGCATGCAGCCTTGTCACGTGGTTGCAAGTAAAAAATTACGGACAAGGATAAACTAAACAGTTATTCTTTACCAGCTGTTCAGGCAGAGTTTTGTTTTCGTCAATTTCTTTCCAAACTGTGTCAAATATCCTTAACAATTGACTGAAGCCAATATCTTTATTCAGATCAAAAATGAAAGGAGCGAATCCAAGTGCTGTAGTGTGCAAAAATGAGACACGGTCGGTTTCAATGTCACTTTCTCCGGCAGACATCATTGCAAGGTCCACAAGTGTTTTGACTTCTTCCCGCCCTCCTAAATTACAAAAAAGGAAAAAAAAGAAAAGGAAAGAAGACTATTTATTTATGCTTACCATTTAAATGCTGACTGACTATTTCAAGGACTATAAGTTTCCAGACAATTTGTGGAAATGAAGGGCTAATATAGATCTATCCAATAATCAAGATTCTTATTACAATCACTCGTGCGATTGACTTGCTTAAGTAACATTTTTACCAATAAAATCGCTTTTAAAAAAGGGGAAAATTACACTTTGTGATTTTTGTTCTTCATCGTCAAGAAATACGATGTTTTCCAGTTCCACGGGGGTAAATTTTACCATTGTCTAGCGCAAATAACCTATTATTATACTTCCGAGATGAATCCTGGGTGCAGCAATGCGTTAAACTAAAGGTAATGTGGCTAATTTCTTACGATTCAGCTTTGTTTTGCCCTATGTTATCTTGCTTCTCGTTAGTAATCTGGTTTCAGCCGTGCAGATGACCCAAATTAATTGTCTTGGATCCTTACCGTAGTGCGAACTCTCAAACCGGGACACTTGGGAGAAGATCGCCCAATCAATATGAAAACAAGAGATTGTCAATTTCTTCTTTTGCAAACGAACCAATAACGCTTTATGAATTTGTGGAATGATTCCTGAGAGGTCAGGTAATTCAAGCGGTTGAAGATTTCATCAGTTGCATACTTAAACCTCAAATTTTATTGGTCCGTAATTGGGATTGAACAATCTTCGATCATGCCTTAGTTCGGTATATTTGTCCTCTCGATTTCGTCTCCAGAGCCTTCGATACCGCTGTCCAGCGAATCTAAGCCTCAGTGGGATGGAAAGTAAAAGGCAAGGCCATTCATTGGTGAATAATTGTTTATTATCAGAGCAAAAGTGATTAACTTGAAGCACGCCTTTTTCAGTCAGTCAATCTTAAAAAGGTTTTGAATCCACATAGCATTTTTTTAATTAACAGGGCTAATGTCTCTTTCTGGAAGTGAATCCCCTGTCATGCGTACCAATGCTGTATAGTATCCAAAGAAAGAGATTTGCTAACTGTCTGTCATTTGTTAATTTTATTTTCCCGGAAATAACATTTACCTTTCAATTCTTCTCGAAGCCACAAGATGTACTCTTTGCATTTAATGACAGTTCTCAAGCACTCAATCTTTTCTCGTGTAAGCTGTTCAAGGCCTTTTCCCATTTCTAAAAGGCCTTCACTGATAGTGTCTAGTGTTCGCCGGTCAAACGATTCTTCAATCTGTACGGAATTAAACGCAAACAGCTTTACTATGTAAGTTCTTGGCATTGCTACCTATACTTAGCTTATTCTTGTCATTCATGTACTTAAATAACTTGAATTGTTTATAAATGGGTAGCCTGAATGTAATAAGCCCCATGGCTTTCTATTCGGGCTCCCCTGCCACTTTTGGTGGTAAATTATCTGATAAATAAATAAATAAATATTAAATTAATTAATTAATTAAAATTTAAAAAAAAATCCAATCCAATCTTTGCAACACAAAGCGTTGAGTGAAAGATATAATCATTTCAATACTGAGTATTTTTGGATTTAGCTTAATATGTTCTCTCGAATATGTCCCCTGTGTCAATTTTAACCTTATATGGAAGTCTAAGGTCCACTGAAACATCGATGGAGTAGTGATAGATCCACTACAGAAAATGAAAAAAGCAAACAAACATACAAAAAATAAAAAAACAAAAATAATTACCTGATCATGGAAATCCTCAAGTCCTTGGAAGTCTCCCATAAGGCCCATTTCATTTTTAAAGAGCAGGACTATTTCTACTGCATCGGAACACTCACTTAGTTTAAGTGACTGCTTGATCTGATCAATTCGATGATAAAGATCGGACTCTTCGACACCTTCTTTATCAGAAAAACACGCCAAAGTTGTTTCTATCTCAGCATCAAGAAGTTTTTGATCTTCCACAAATCTTCCAAACTGTTCCTTTACTTCTTTAAGACGAATTTCTCCACCGACAATTCTCATCCACAAGTCCTGCCATCTTCGATAGCAAGGTGTCCACACAAGCTCAAACACATTATCTATGGTCATCCTTCCATTGATTCCCTTGTCTTTGGAAATGTCGGCTGCTCTTTGAACACACTTTTGCCACAACGCCACAAAAAGTGAACTACCCTGAACGCAGTAGAGCGGTTGTATCATCCGCTTATTCATTGCAGAAAGGCCAAAGAATTTTACAATGGGTTCATCACCTGCACTGCGCTTGTAGCACATTTCTGACAGTTGGCAAGCTAAAGGATCTTTGTCTAACTTTTCTTTGATTTCATCTAGGTCCACATCAACAACTGCAAAAAAATAAAGTCATAAAAATAACGTTGTCTAGATTATATTTCTTACATCCGTGGCCCTATTCAGAAACACGGTAAAAATTGGACACTCTTAACGTTCGGCCGTTATCTGTAGAAAACGAAGCGCTCTTGAAAATATATAAATTTCACCCCATTTAGGGGTGCAAGATCATGGAGATAGCTTTAGCCGATTGCAGGCCGAAGAGAAGGATTTAATTGATTTTTATCAAGACGCTCTTTTTTAGGGGGTTTGTACAAATGTTGTTCTACTTAAACAGAAGAGGGAATAATAATTTTTGAAACTGCTTCTTAATCGAGATTCTCGAGATTAACCGTCGTTATAATGATCTTAGGCCCGTTTCCGTCATACGTCGTGCTACTGCCGTGCCGAATTAAGTTGATCGAATCAAATTCGACTTTTAGCACGGCAGTAGCGCGACGTTTGAAACCAAGTCGCGCTACTGCTGTGCCAAACTCAATTCATAAATACGTCTGAAGCCAAGTCGTGCTAGTGTCGTGCTGCAGTCGACCTACAGTCGAGCCAGCTTAGCATGGCAGTAACACGATGTTTGAAACAGGTCTTAGAGATTCAAGATACTTATAACTCGTAAGACAGTAATAAAAGTGCTACAATTCGCTAAATTTTTGGTTTTTTTTTATGGCGTGACAGTGAAAACCAGCAATTGATAAAACTAAGGCCTAGGCCAAACGTCGAACTTTCCATAACACGAACCAGACTTCAGTTCAGTTCGACGTCTGGCTCAGTTAAATTCGATTGAATGAGTTTGGATCGTCCAACACGTTCTATCCATCGAAGGTCGTCTTCGTGACAAACGTCGACTCACATGCGACAAAAAAATTAATGAATTAAAAATTTGTATGAAACGTACATTCAGCGTAGTTCGGTAGAAAATTTGTTAAAGTTGCTTTTTGGTCTGATTCAGTTGATTGGTTCGACGAGTCCTAAGCTAGTTCAGCGGTTGACACAACGGACGATCTTAACTTAACAGTGCACAGTAATTTTCAAAGAGTTACAAGAACTCCTCTAGTGGGGCTAATTTAACTCCTTACAATATAGTGGAGTTATTTTTTGGGGAGTTATTTTAACTCCAAAAAGGAGGTTAAAGAACTCTTTTTCAGGAGTAAGAGTGATCCCAGATATTGAGGAGTTAAAATAACACCAAAAAAGGAGTTATCCTGTACCTAAAATTTTTACTCCACTTTCAGCGTTAAATTAACTCCAAAAAGAGTAACAACAACCCATGTAAGGAGTAAAAATAACCCCATTTCGGAGTGACTCCAAATTCGGAGTTAAATTAGGAGTTAAGGTAACCCCGAAAAAGGGCGGTTATCCTGTACCTAAAATGTTTACTCCATTTTTGGAGTTGTAATAACTCCCTAAAAATTGCGGTGTGGACTTAATTTATAGCTTGGTTCGTCTAATTAAAAGATCGACGTTTGGCTTAGGCCTAAGAAAGATTACTTTTTTGACTCACCCGACTTGACATCGGTGCACATCTGGACAAAACAGCGAACTGCTTCTCTCTCCTTCTCAAAAGCCTTTAACTCTTCACTGCGCATGTCAAGAAATATTGTCTCTGGACTTGTATCCTTCTTGCTCTGATCACCTTCGCTCCTGTGGCGTTTATCTTTGTCGTGAGAGACTAAGGAATACAGCCTCAAAAAACACTCGGATTGTTTCTCGACAATTCGAAGTGTTTGTGCATCAATCTCGGCAGTTCTCAACCCCTGGCCTACATGCTCTAGGAGTGAGGAAGCGGATACTAGGAGGTCCAGGCCGTCGTCCGGTAGAGCAACTCCTTGCAACTTGTCACCACCTAAACCACACATCATTACCATAGTAAACGATAAATCTTTCTTTAATTATGAATACTAGCTGCCAATAAAACGTAGAAACCAATAAATGATTTATTCGATAGGCGTTGAATTTATGTGCTGCTCATTTCGTATTCGTTCTAGTGACATATGACATGTTAGAAGTGTCATTATTAACATCAAATTATCCTTTGAAATTTACTTTTTATTATTATCAGCATAACAAAAAACAGTAAAAAATAACGAGTATATTGTAAAACCTTTGATCTTACTTTGACCATTATTACTATTACTACTTCTTATTATTATCATTATCATTATCTTCATTATTATTATCATTGTTATTTTTTTGATTATTATGATTATGAATGTGATTATAATAAAGATTATGAGAATTATTATTATACAGTAGAACCCCGATAACTCGAACTCGGATAGGTCGAACTCCCCGCTAACTCGAACTAAGCTTAGTCCAATTTTTTGGAGGGGGATTTCACTTTTCAGTCATTTTTACTCCGTCGGTTTACTCGAATCCGGATAACTCGAATCCCTGCTAACTCGAACAAAATTTCCTTTCCCTTAATTAAAGATTTACTGGAAATTAGCCCGATGACTAGAATTCTGCTTCTTGTAACTTTACTCGGATTCCATCGCATTAGCTCTTCTTGTTGTATAATCAGAAAAACACAAAATCCAATACTGGTTAATGCTACAGCAATTTGAATTTAATTGGCGCAAGAAACAGATCACGTTTTATCATAAAATGCCTATATTATCATGTTGCCGTTTCGGGTGAAAATAATTTAAACTTGCACTGCAGTAGCACAATACACTGAAGTGCTGAAAGCTCAAGAACTATCAATTTTTAACACTGAAAATTGAATTTTGCAATTGACCCCGATAACTGGAACCCCCGCTAACTCGAACTCGTGTAACCTTGTTTCTACGTGACTGTAATTATTTTCATCATCATCGTTATTGATATTACCACTTACCGAAGCACTGAAAGTATTTAGCCATCGGCTTCCAGGAAAGAATGTATCTCAACTGATCACCCTGTGAAGGCTTTTTGCCACCATCCCCTTTAGGCCAACATCTCTTCAAAAAGAGGCCAAGCAATTTTCTAGGACCAGAGTCTTGTTCTGTGAGTCTCTTCCTTATTAGATCCTGCAAATAGACATGGAAATGTATCTGATTTTATCATGCAAAGTTTCATGGAGGTTTTTGTTCAATGTTAATGTACACCCGGCTGAATGCCAAGTATCAGCCTCAGAAGTGGCACCATTAGCGGTTTCCCCCGCTCTGTGATATATGTGAGGACGTATAAATGAAGGGTTATTTCTAAAACCGTGATCGGTGAGGGATGATTGAGTCGATCAAGTTACAATCATATAAAGATGTTATCAAGTTTCCATCCTACGGCTGAACTCCATGCAATGTGTGTTGCTTATACGATATACAAGCCACTCATTACCCACAATCGCTTGAACGTTCGAAACGTCAGCTTTTTAGTTGATTTACAATGGTAAATTGGCTTCAAAAACTCCAGGTGAAGTTTAATAAGCAGCACTAATCGATTATAGTGTAGAGATATAGTATAGATATATATGCATGGCGTAAATAAGCCTTCTAAACACTTTCTTTCCAAATAATTTGAAACTAATTTTAACAGCATACCTCCGCGAGACAGTCTACGGCCTCAAATGATGCAGCCATGAAAGATTCGCCAATTTCCTGGTGGTAGGTCCTCAGATCTAATTCACAAAACAACTCCACAATATGCTTCTTTTCCATCTGTTTAATACAAGAATTCCGAAGTTGAGAAGATGGAGTAAGAATTTTTTTTAGCCGTGTGCATTTAAGTACAAGTTCTCAAGTCATTACTCCAAACAAATCAAGAAAAAATGCAGTTAGGCCAGGTCATCAGTAACCCAGATTTAGAAGGTGACTATAGCCCCATTTACACTACAGAAAAAAATGGGTCCGGACCCGTAAATAAGTTGGTACGGACCAGATATTTTTTCCGTGTAACCCTTCCGTACTATGTTTTCATGAAATGGATCCGGACTCGTTTTTTCTGGTGTTGTGGCCCCAAAACCGAAAAAAAAAACCGGTCCGGACCCCTTTTGCTGTTGGAAAGCGTTGTGTAAATGCATCTTCGTTCCATACCATCTTCTTTATGTGAGCCTGCCGTACTTGGTTTGGTTGACTGGTTTCACCAGTCTTTGATGCACGGAAAATTTCCCGGATAATTTCTATTAAACCAGGCCTGACCGACGTTTCCGTATCGTAATAAAGGTAGCACTTGAAAGACATAGTTAACAGCCATATTCTATAAAGGTCCTGTAGCGCGCACTCTTTGGTCAAAGTCTGTAATTCTGGATCCACTTTTCTCTCCGTCTTCGTCTCATTGTTCGAAATTCAGCTTTTCTTTTTCTTACCATGAAAGCTATACGGTTCAGGAATTTCTGTTACAGTTACTCACTTGAAGAAGTGTTTTAGACGAAAGCAATTAACCCGAAATTAGAAACGAGTGAGAAGTTCACTCATAAGCTGCGGTAAATATAAGTATCCTCCGTGCACACCATGGCCTACGAACGGCAGACTTTTCTCCTCAGTCATCGCCACTGAGGGACTCGCGAAACGTCCCTCAGAAGCGATGAGCGAGGAGAAACGTCTGCCGTTCGCAGGCTATGCACACCAACTCGAGGTCTGAACTCATTTGACAGGCTAATATGCTAGCTATATCTGGAAAAAAATGTACCAGATTTATTCGACGTTTAAGAGCCTCCCTGACACCATGCTCCCAGATGACTTGAAATTCCCTCTCCTCGATCATCACGGACAGCAATGTTGACCAAACCTATTATGTTTTAGGAAAGAAACTAAACTTAATAAATAGTCTTTTCTAACCTTCAATGCAGTCAAGTTTCTATTTTCTCTGGGCATCAATAAACACTGGAGCCTAAACCAGTACGCACTTGTACTCACCGCAAAAGCCGATAACTGAGGCTAATCATGAATAACTTTGAGAAAAAATATTAAACATCACACTAAGGAAATGGCAGGTTACTTTCTAAAACAGATATATTAACTGAAAGTGTGTGTAGAATGAACGACTAATCAACCGATCAACTCTCATATACTGCACATGGCACATCAAACGTAACTTAACATAATGACTGTCTAACAAGCCTTCAGCCGCCACAAAGACTTAAAACACCTACAATCGGGAACAAAATATTATTGTTGAGACATGTCCTCATATGAGATAACTTTGGGAAACAAAACAATCCACACCCATCTGGCCCTTCCCTCTATTCAAAGTTAAGGTATTTGTTGTTTTCAACCAAGAGAGAAGGAGCTTGTTTCAACATGTACCCAGAAGGGTAGTGTAGTAGCCTGGGACTAGGCACCGAATTGGGGGGAAAAAGGACAAAATCGGCGTGGGCGAAAAAAAATATCGGCGAGCGAAGACAGCCGAGAGGTAGTCTGTGGATGGGAAAGGATGGCGCCCTTTTCCCCTCCCCAGACCGCTGCTGGATTGGGAAAAACGTCTTAGAGACCCTTCAAGGCATACCGTCTCAGCAAATTTTTCTGATTGTATATACATTGGAGGAAGAAAAACCGAACTTTGCCCAAGAACTAAATTATGAAGAGGATTTACTATTCAAATTTTTATTGCAACGTGTAAAAGAACTTAGCAGATGATAAAGAAGAATCCAGGAGATGGACATAACATCGTACCTGAAATTCTTCTTGTCGCAAATCTTTCGATGCGTAGAACAAGCTCTCTCTAAAATTTTCGTCCAAAAAGCTAAGTAAGGACTGAACTGCCCTTTGAAAAATGTCTTGGCAACTGTCATCAGCTTCTTTTGATGATGCATACACGACGAAACAGCGCTTGGCCAATTGAAGGCTTTTGGCCAGAAGTTGAAAAATACCAGAGATGACCTGGCTTTCTTTACGGATCGCCAATCCGTGTACTGAGAGCAAATGGTGTAAAAGATAGAACGCAGCCTGCGCAAGAGACATCATTGCCTTGTAGGTAGATTCATTTGTCCTTAAAAGAGAAAAACGGAGTTAATTTTAAATATTTAGTTCCGAGATAAAGACTATGGTAGAGAGGCTGGCAATGCTTTTTAACTCGGTTTTTTTTAATTATAAGCAGAAGATGTCATTTTGAACACTCGCAAAGAAAATCTCTTTTCTTGATAAAAACAGCCATATTCTATAAAGGTCGTTTTTCCGTACAAAGCAATGTCAGTAGGATAGACATATGAAACACTGGTTTTCCTACCGCCTTCACCATTCTCTTAACAACACGCGCTTCCAAAAGTGATCAGGCAGACTTGAAACAAAAACGTTCCTGTTTAAGAAAAAATTCTTACCCCAATTTTAATTAAACAAGAGTGTTATTTGACCAACGATGCTCTCACCTGGCATATGCTTCGACTTCAAGGCACATTTGAGTAATGGCATTTTCAAGGGAAACCCACTAAGTAAAAACATCAGCAGAGTTATATAGTCAGCAAAGAAAAAGAGTTGGTTTCAAGGGTTGAAAAAGTTACCTCATACAGTTGATAAAGCAATTGTTTTTATACTTTTTATCCGATGAAAAAAGTATATTGTTGCTCCAGATCATCCTGTGGTCAGAGATTGGCCAGTGATCACATTTCAAAGATATTACCTGCCTGCGTACGTAGCATATTAGGCAGCTCAATAACGACGACGGCGACGGCAACGAGAACGGCAAAAATGCAATTACGGTTTAGATTGGCAAGATTGATTAGATTGATTCCTTTGCCGTTGCTGCACGACTACAACGTGAAAGTGACTAATTTCACGGTTTGTGGAGGACTTGAACGAAGACAATTCACTTACAAGTGACGTTTTTGTAGACGTCGTCGTCGTTGTTGCTCAATTTCCCTATTACTTACTACTTACAAGCGCCTGTTACGCGGGGCTAAGATATTACCAGCTTTGGGTCGTCGTAGGCGCTTTAACAAAAGGAAGCTTGAGCAACGACGTCGGCGACAGCGGCGAGAACGCAAAACAACAACTCAGGACGGTCATCACGTTTCTTTTTACATTTCTTTGCCGTAAATGCACGGCTCTGTCGTGAAAACCAGTATCTAAAAGACGTTCTATGAGGACGTAAAGACACGAAGTTGATTGGCGTCCCTACAAATCCATGGACGTTTTCCGCAACTCCGGGCGAAGTTGATTGATAACGATAAGCCTTGAGAGGTGTCAACGTTTTTGCTTAATTCTTCCTCGTCACAAGTTTCTTAAGCTCCAAAATAAAGTAGTCAAGCATTCAATTACCCCTATATCTAATGCAATCGATCAAATCATGACAAACGGCCCAAATCCCAAGTTAACTTACGGCGGTGTTCAATTACTCCATAATTAAGAAAGTGAAGTTATCTAGTTACCTTTTCTGGAGACAGATACGGGGGATCTCTCTCTTCCACAACTCGTGCGAGCGTCCAGCAGACGTCGTGCAGTTGAAATATGTTTCTTTCTAGAGCCTTAACAAGGTCACAAATGGGAAGAGCCAACAAAAATGTCCGCTTAAATAAGGGATCGACCTTGAACAGTGGGGTGAGCTGAATAAGCAGATTGAGAGGGGTACTGTTGCTGCAATGATAACAAAGCAAACAACTTAAAACTTCTTTTCAATTTGCAAGAAGCTAGGGCGTATACAGAAATAACTACTCAAGAGCAGTAACAACAAAAGACCTCATTAACTTTAATTTTTCGCTGGAAAGGTTTGAACCCAGGTGCCATTTTATAAAGTAGGTGGAGTAATGTCATTGGTGCGTTTCAATCGGTCTTTTGTCACAGTTTAACAATCGTTTACCGGGTGTCCCAAAAGTTCGTTCCTCTAATTTCATGCGCTATAACTTTTGATCAAAACTTTATTCTCGCATGAAATTTCTAGAAGGTGTTCATTGCTCCATCGATTCAGAATTTCAGTAACCGGCATTCCCCCTTCGTTATTTTATGAAGCCGTTGCAGCATATGGAGTGGGATACAGCATGTAGAGCCACAGATGACTCTATTTTGACCTTTTTTATCACCTGGTACGCAAGAGCCACTTCTCCGCTTCGACCCTCCCCCAAACAACATTATTTTTAGTTTGGGCGTTTACGCAGCTGGAAAAGTATACTTTAAGCATTCATCCAAAAACACATAATCATCCCAGCCTCTATTCACAGTAACGCTTTTGTACCTCTTTACAAATTTGCTTTGCAGATTAAGAGAGGTTTTATTTGCCGTTTAAGGGCCTCTAACCTTCGCTTTTCATGAAACTGCTCTAGACATGGCTTGCTAACTATTGTGAGAGCTATCTCGTCGAGTTGTCTCTTTTAATTTGTATCTAACCTTCTTCAAAACTATTTTAGCCGCTTTATTCAGGACTATCAGTCTTCCCCTCCTTTTTTTGTCTTCAAAACCTTCATTTCTCGATGACCATTTCACCACCGAAAATTCGGATTTTTCCATTAATTTATCAGTTATTTCTACTGATAAGCCGGTAAATCGAAGTAAACATGTTTATGCTCTCACGTAGCTGAACGTTTTTGCTTTTTGAGGTTTTTTCTTTCATGATATTCACAAAAACAAAGAAGGAGTCATCCTCGGAGACCCAGGGGCAGTGAGTCGGGCCGGGTTAAAACGCGCGACGAAAGTTTCATGGGCGGAAGAGCCCCTGGGTACCGACTGTCACCGGACCATTTCCAAACGGTCAAGAGAATGCTGGTTCCTGATTGGGCACAAAAAAAGCTTTGTATTATTGTGCCCAATTAGGGAACAGCATATCCTGAGTTCTTTTCGTGGGTTCGTACACAACGGCTATTATCTCGCCACAGTTGCCGGGTTCGTTCAGCAAGTTTTGCTAACCAGAAACGAAGGAACTACCGATGAGTCGAAAAACGTTTCAGATGCTATCAGCAGGAGCAATTTAATTTGCACTAAGAAAATTCTGTTTCTGACGAATCACAATGTATTGTAAATAATAGGAAGTTTACGATGAAGCGGCGACGAGAAAGTAAAAAAAGCAATAGCTTGACAAGGCAAAACAACAACTTTGCACGTGCATCACGCTTTTTTGTACATTTCTTTGCCGTCGCTGCACGACTACCACGTTAAAATGCCTAGACGGAGAGAGAGAAGGAGAGAGACCTCTCTCCTTCCTCTCATTTTTTCCTCGTCGTGAGAGACCTCTGCTAGCAGGGAAAACTTGGATATGGTTGATAGAAATTCAGCTCCAGAAGAGTTCGCTTGCATTTGACAAAGTAAGTGAGTTGGAATAATCACGATAGAGACTGAAAAAATGTGAGTTTACTCTTCATGCGACGTTTTCGTGGTTGTAAGCTGTCGTGACATACAAAACTCCCTAAGATTTACGAAGGCGTGATCGATGCAAGCGTGAATACCTGTCAGTTGTAAGCTCAAGCTTGTATTTTTGGAAAAGCGTCTTTAGTTTTCGTGTAGACAGTGGTTGTCTTTACACTAGGCTGGTAAGTAAGACTTAAGAGCTGCTAAGTTTTACTTAACCAAAAATGCGTGTGTGAAGGCCTAAGTAAAATCTCAAGTAACTTTACTTTGCGTCTCATTAAAACCGACTTAGCGAACTTGCGGTTTTCCAAGCTTTGCGAAAAGCGAAGCATGTCAATCAATCTTAATTATTTTGCGTGGGAAAACCTGAAGTGAAAAAGATAGGTTGTGTGTGAAGCTTTCTTTTACTTGAAGAATTTAAAATTTACTTGTCTTGAAATGTTTCGTAGCTTATTTAGGCTCTAGTGTAAAGACTACCAGTATTTTGAAATGTAGCGTTTATATCAAACTGAAAGATTCCTGACTGCGTGCGTTTTTTTGGTGCATGAGCCAGACAAGCCGTGATCGAGTCAATAGCCGTCCTGTACGAACTCACGAAAAGAACTCAGGAGATGCTGTTCGCCTATTGGGCATAATAATACAAAGCATTTTTTGTGCCCAATCAGGAGCCAGCATTCACTTGACCGTTTGGAAATGGTCCGGAGAGAGTCGGTACCCAGGGGCTTTTCCGCCTGTGCTTGAAAACTTTTGTCGCGCCTTTTCTCCCGGCCCAACTGACTGCCCCTGGGTCTCCGAGGATGAGAAGGAGTTTGAGCAAATCAGCTATAAAATACAAAAAATATGTGGCGGAAAATGTACTCGCGCACACGCACCTTTGGCGCGGAAGCACACAAATCGAATATTAGAGTCACAAGATGGCACAACAAGTATATAATATTAAATTACTTTGAAAGACACAACTTTTATTTAAGTGATTTGCTTACCAAGTCCAATCGTACTACATTACAGTCTTATAAAGTAGAGGAACGAACTTTTGGGACACCCTGTATTGTTTGCGGTTGTCCAGTTGTTATGTCGTTGTCCGTTTTACTTGGGTCCAACAAAAAGCAGTTTGTACGGTGCCGGTAACTGTTGACTTTGAATCAGTGGCATTTTTTCTAAGTAAGTAAACAAGCTTTCTAAATTAAAGTGAGACGTTGATAGTAGTCTGTACATGACGCAGAATCCCAGTAAATTTGATATTTCGTCTGTAACTGGTGTTCAGCGATGCGATTGTTGACATTACCGTTTCTTGTCGCTCGTTTGTATTCAGTCAATCGCGTTTCAAGGGTTCTGTTGCAGTCGCAGCATTATTTGATCTTTTCGGTTTGGGCAGTGACTTACGCATGTGCACAGCTATAACACTCAAGAAGTGGCAGCCATATACTTTTGTACAGTTGTTTCGTTCTTGTAAGATACTAATTCCTTGTCAGAAAACTGCGGGGACTGCATGCGTCCTTATAAGGGAAAATTCTGGAGGATAATACGGCTGTGTGCATGCGTAAGATACTGGAAATAACACGAAGCGTTGTATTTCTGAGCTTCTTGCTCCTTATAAGTTTGAAGGGAATCCCGAAAGTTACATGAACAACAACGACTTTAAAAGTTTTTATAAAATGTTCAGTTACTTTGCAAATACAGCTATCTTTCATCCCTACTGGGTGTGTTTCGCGATACGTCTCTGCGACGAGGAGCGATGAAAGGCGGCTGTATTCACAGCAGTACTATTCAATACTACAGTATAGGTAGATTTAACAGAAGTCACTAATTGCCGTGGTAGTTAAGTTACTGTCGTATGGTACATCTCTTGTTTAGCAGGACTATACTTACGGCATCAACTCAGCTCGTTTCCGAACACTCTGAAAATTAATTTCTTGCGCTCCCCACCAAGTATCGTCTTTAACGGAACTAGGTACTGAGGATAGTTCACCAGAGTATGGAGCAGCAACTCCGGAAAGGAAATGAAGCAGAGGCACCGTAAAAAGCCAATGGTAGATTCCAGGGAGATTCTCAATAACATAGTTGCAAATTCGCCACAAGCCATCTGCCACTATGCTATAGAATTCAATTAAAGTTGAATTAGAACATTCCAGTTACTCTTAGTATGTGGTAGTAAACGCAATAGTAATGACCCTATCCAAAACAATTCAATTTATCTGGCTTCATTTTGTTCCCCAATGCCACTTTGGAAACGGACAGATTAGTAATATAGCCTACTGATATAGCGCCTCTTTGTCTGGCACAGGCATGGCATTTGCACTTTTCATTTTAACACATTTAAAATGTTTCTATTGACCAGAAAATCATACCTAAACGCAATTTATACTACTCAATGGATCATATAAAGCAAGGGAGAAACACTCTGAACTAATGTTATGGGGAAATAAAGTATATTTCATAACACATTATTTTTACCTTAAATGTTCCATTTGGTCAAAGTGAAGGAAAATCGCATTAAGGCCACTGCATCTCCTGCGATCTGGATCCCCATTTAAAGTCAGACATTCCAAGAGGTCTCTTATCTCGTCATCTCTAAGAAAAGTCATTTCATGATAACCGACAAGGGACGTAATGATTGCAGAGGTAACCAATCGCTTGTCTTGAAGATTCTCGTCCTTTGTGTGTAGTTGTAAGATTTGTATGTTTTGGTTCAACCGCCGAGAAAGATATTCCCAAAGAACCTTAAAAAAAGGCAAAAAGGGAGTAAGTTGTTATAAACCATAAAACAGTAACTACTGACACGTTCAAGTACGAAAAACTGTCAATCAAGTGTTGCTTGAGAAGTTGAGCGACTTGTCTATGGCGTGTGTTCCCCGCCAAAATTCAATTTATCTAATTTCTGTATTTCGCTAAATTGTGGCCCGAAAATTTCTCGTTCCCTTAGCAAATTCTGTCCTGTGTTATCAAATTCGACAAAACCAAATTCTATTCCGTGTTTCTAATTTCAATACTGATATAACACCAAATTCGATGTCTTGACATCAAATTCTGTCACATCAAATTCTATCCAGTGGTTTCATATTCGTTACTTTGCACCAAATCCTATGCTGTGTGCCAATTTCTATAACTCCAAATTCGGTCACACCAAATTCTGTGGGACACAATTTTTTTACTCAGTAACAGCAATTTCTTTACTATTGTATGGAATTCAGGAACAGCAAATTCAGTTAGTATTTAATTTTACCGAAGGACGGCAAAATCTATCAGTCCGCACACAAAATTGCAACTAAATTCAACAACGTCAAATCCTGGTACCAAGTACGAACAGGCTATCTGGGCCTGGTTAAAAAGTATTTAACACAGCTGACAAAATGGCGGAACAACAGCAAATGGTTCTGTTTATTCGTCAGTTGTTGGCGAGTCTTATAAGGGAGCTAGAAAATGACAACGATCAGTCAGATCATTTAGATAGCGTTACGATCTATGATCAATTAGTAAACAATGAGCGAAAATTGGCTAGCGATCGATTTTGATCAGCTTTTGCGCTCTATGAACATTCATTCGCTAGGGCACTTGATTCCTGTGCTCCGGGATTCACAAATGACTGTAACAAAGAAGTTTGATGAAGTAGAAGACGTCGAAGGTCTCGAAGAGGAAGAGTTTTCCGGCCATGTGTGATGAAACGAAATAAATTATCGCAACGCGAGAAATAAATTTGCACCTCTACTTTGTAACCAGGCCCAGATGCCCCGGCCGTACTGGGTTCCAGGATTTGAAGTTAATGGGTTCAGTTGCAATTTTGTGTGCGCACTGACAGATTTTGCCGTCCTTCGGTAAAATTAAGTGCTAACTAAATTTTCTCTTCCTTAATTCCATGCAACAGAAGAGAATTTGCTAGGGGAACGAGAAATTTACGGGCGACAATTTAGCGACTTACAGAAATTAGATAACTTGAATTTTTGCGGGGATCACATGCTTACTTGTCAAGTTCCTAAGTTATGAAGGAGTAAAACTTTGTTTGCAGCACAAACCTGTTTGGCATCAAAACCAAATAGTTCACGAGGGAAGCGATAACCTCCATTCTCAAAAACGCAATTTAACATGCAATATAGTATACTATTGATCTTAGTTATAGCAGCAGGGGCGGTCAACCGTTCTCCTCTATGTTCTGCAAAGATATTGTCCAATTCAGGAAGCATAGCAAACATCGCCATCCTTCGGCCTTCCACAGGGTCTCGGACAATGCTTCTTAACGGTTGAATATGACTACAGAGAGATTCCAGGAATCCTGGTTCACTGAAGACTGCATCGTCATACTGATGCCATGTAGCTGTGTAATTAAAAAAAGAAAAAAAAAAAGAAAAAAAGAAAGAAAACAAATAAGAAGCTATTCAGTAAGCTATTCTAATCATACAACTGAAAGAACTTGAATTCAGAATCACTTTCATTTTCTGCTGTACTTGTCACTAAGCAATATTTAACACGTTTTGACCAGTAATACCATGTTATTATGTGTTTTTGGATATGCACTGTTTATTAAAGACGTCACAAGAACTGAAACACTTTTGTACTTACTATTTGCTTTAATAGATGCTTCGGGAATGATAAGGCAACGATTAACATGGCCAGGCACGAGAGACTTGAATCCAATAAGGCACTCCCACAGCTCCTTTCCATTCTGCTGTACAACGACGTACTTATATGAAACGCCTCGGTAAGCCTCTTGCAAAGACAGCTTAGCCTTGCCTTCCAAAATGAAGTAACCATTCGAAATCTCTCTAAGAAAACAAAACATCAGTCAAAGTAAACGGTTTTTTTTCCCAGTCATGTCATACATGAGCATAATCTAAACGATACCAGCATCAAGCGCCCTACCTCCCAACGCGTATCTCCAGTTGTCTTCCAGGACGCCAGGAAAATGGCGGGTGTCCACGCAGGACCACTTTATTATAACGTCGCTGGAAATTAAATGTGGGAGTAAGCAAAGCATGAAAAACAACGTTAATACATTCTTCATCTAAATGGGATCTTTCCGTGTTAGTGAGGTTGTGATCAGACATTCCCTCGTTGTTTTGCAAGTTGTTTATGCTTGATGTCACCTTAGCATGTCCGTTGGTCTTTGTTACTCCAGTATCAGGTGTTCGTAAATCTTGCCTACCAGAATCACTAACATTCTTTGTGTCTCCGCTTACGAGTGGAGTGTTCTTTATGTCAACAGGATTGGACTGCAATGTAATTTGGTTTTTAGACGTCACCACTCTCTGTTCATTACTTTTTCCATGTGTTTCGTTAAGGTTACCACCTCCTCTATTAACCTGGGTACCCTCCTGCTCAGAACCCGTCTCAATTTCTTTTAAGTCAAGACCTTTTGAAGCAGTTTTTCCAGCATTATCGCCTCCGTGAATTCCTTGTTTTTCATCACCATTGGCATCAACTGAAACTTGCTTGTCGGTTTTAACATTTTTTTTCTTATTCTGATTGATCTGAGGTTCATCGGAACATGATTGAGTAACAGGTTTCGCGTCATTTTTCAGATCCCCACTGAGTGCTGGTATTATGGTACCACTGTCTGGCACTGAAGCATTATGGGCTCCGTTATTCAGCAAGTCTTTCTCAGGAAAGGATCTTAACGTGAAGGAAAAGAAAGAATTCCAAAAATTATACATAAATAAAAGTCCCATGCCACATGTTAAGCAGTAATTGGAAATCGAAATGGGATCGTCTTCCGTTTAAATGCAATTCGTTGGAAAACGACCCAAAGAAAGACATGGGCGCACAGCTAAATCATTTCGTTTAATTGCATCAGTAAATCATTTTAAAAACACAAAGGTGAAATGAGATAACTTTATTTATACATGGTGTCTTCATCTGCTTCAGACGAACCTCTTCCCCCTCACACTCCCAAAAGCGGGCTCGCAGCTGAAGCTATCCTTATAATATTATGGAATAAGACTTAGGCTACGCGGTTCACACGATGCCGGTCGAATTTTCGACTGGTCAAAAATTCGTACGTTTAGGTGTTCCGTTCGCATGAACCACGCTAACCGTACGAACATTTGAACGCCAAGGCAAGGTGTTGCTGCATGGGTGTGTGGTTACTGAGCTGAAAATAGAAAGGAAAAATTGCACACAGATATTGCGAACATGGATTTGCGAATCGTGTTAATACTCGCATTGCTTGAAAAGTACATCAGCTACTTACTGAGATGATTCCCTTTGTATGTTATCTTGAATGGTGCTCCCTTGCTCTCCCTTTATTAGCGCTTCCCCATTGCGTATCTGTTTTCGAAGAAACAAATGTAAGCTTCCGGTAGGTAATTCGGACCAAGTTATTATCAATTATTGTAAATTAAGTTATTGGCTAAACGGGTAACGCTCGGGTAGCTTTACTCAGTCATAAGTATGTTCTTCCTCTGTACCGTTTTTTCGAATTATCCGATTTGTTTTCCTAGTAGATTTGAAAAGTAGGGATTCCACTTTTTAATATCACTTTGCTGGCTCTCAACCAGGTTCCTTAACTTATTTTATCCATATTTTTTGGTATTGACACGACGTCAGAGTCCATTGTATTCCACGTAATGACGTTTTTACATCTTGAATTCCTTACGGAATTAGGCTTCTTCTACATAACTTATCAAAATGTGAATCTTTTCTTTTATACAAATCTCAGAAGACTCAGTATGCGACATGCTTACAGCAAGCGCCTCCTGTTTCTCGACATCTTGGTCAGTAAGTCCAGACGCCGCGGGACCATGTAAGGTCGTGTTTGATAACTCTCTTTCTGCTGTTCCTGAGGCTTGAATATCATGCTGCACTGCAGGCTTTGTGTCTTGAGCATTTTCCTGTTTTGTTGGCCACGCATTAAGCTGTTCTGCACTAGGAATCTCTTTTAGAGGTTCTTTACTGGCATCGCCATTGTCTTGGACAATTACCTCTTCACTCTCTTTAACTTCACCTTCCTTCTTGTCCCCCTGAGGAGCTAACGTAGCCTGAGACTGAGAAGGTTCGGCTGCAGCTGTTGAAAAATTGATTAAATTAAACAATGAAACACAGTGGGACCAAGCCACCACCCAGAAGTGTCATCAAAGCGTGATATTTGTGGTTAATATGCGATAATGTTTTAATCAAGCTTTAAATCTCTCTGTCAACCAAACTTGCCCCAAAAAATATATGATGTATATCTGTATTTCTTAACAACTGTATATCTGTCTACACCTGAACATATGATCAGAACAACAAAATTGGCATAGAAGATGATACAAAACGTCAAATTATGACGTCACATTTGCTGACATCAGTCATACGTAAATTTTTAACTTCGGGATCATTTAATTTCTTATATAGTCCATGGGCCCGACCAGATTTTCTTACCACTTCAGGAGAGAAAGAGTGACATGTATCAGTTTAAAGACTAACTTAAATTGTTTAAAATTTTTGATGATAGCAATATTTAACGGCAGCTTTATTATATTTTTTGGAAATTAAAAAGGTGGAAAATAGCCCTCTATAAAAACCAGACCTTAGAGAGAAAATAAAGTGTCAGAGAAGAAACGATAAACGTTGAACCTTCTAAAACAAAGAAAGAGATGAAATATGTTTTCTTTTACTCGTTGCTACCAATAAAGAATAAAAACAACGTAAAAAAATTGTTTTATAGCGCTTTTACTTTCAGCTGCCTTTGTAATGCATTATGGGTAATCCAAGATGGCGGACAATCTCTCAGGTAAATGGTTGGTCAGGATTTCGATGCACAATACAACAATTTACAATATTATAATAATTGTCTTTGAAATACAATTAGGCAAAATTAAACAATGTTTGCAGTGGTTTTCGGTAAAAAGTATGCAAAAACTAATTACCAGCCTTCGAGATGTGAACTAGATTTCAAAACTATAGTTATAAAGCATCAGTTAATTCCACCTGCGTCCAGCTCCCCCCCCCCCCACCGGGGTTGACCCCCGGGCATTGGCATTTTTTTTGTCTTGGATGGCAAATTCCCCGGGGTGGGGACAAAAAAAGAGGGCAAATGCCCCGTCCTCCGTCAACACTGTAACATTTTTCATTGATCGCCCAGTCGAATAGTTCCATTTTAAGCATTTTAATGTGCGATTTTTTGTTTCAATTAACGTCTTCCTTTGTAATAGCGCTAGGATTCTAACGATTCTAACGACGACATGCACCAGTTTATGGTTTTAGTGGTTTTAGTTAAATTAATAGAACACTGTAAAGTTATATGTCATGAATAGTTTTATAATATTCAAATAATATCAACAGAAATTTGATTCAATAACCAAAAAACGTTGATTCACATCGATAGCTCCAATTTCGCTATGTCATTTTAGCTTGATAAGCAATGAAGAAATGCATGCATAAAATCGAGAAAATGCCTTTACAACCGTCTTCAATTTATTCCTGTCCTTGACAGATGGGCCAATCTGCTTTTTTTCCAGTAAAACCTACTGTGTAGTTATATTCTGATAGGAAACCGCGTGCGTGTTTAAAAGCTTGGGAATCGCCCTGGGGTTGAAAAATGCCCGGCCGCCGGGCAGTGAAAAATTTGCAAATGCCCCACCCCCGGGACTGACAAGGCGGGCAAATGCTCCGCAGTAGCCTGGGAGGGGGGGGAGGGGCTGGGCGCAGGTGGAATTGATTGATGCATAAGTCGACTTAACTTTTCATTTTCCGATTCCTATCGTTGTACAAACATTATTATTACTGGATAAATTTCACCGGAGGTGTATGAAAGAGAAGCTGCCTAGTGCTATGAGGGATTTAGAAGAATGCTTGAAATTTGTTTAAGTTCCAGACAGTGAAATGTTGATTTTTTTCTTTTACTGGCCTACTTTCACGAAAGTCTTCACAAATATAGCCTTGTTATCTTAATTTTTTAGGAAATAAACATAAGAGGATTATCAATATAGAATGAGATGGACCCCCTAAGAAACGTCTTTGTGTGGAAATGAGAAAGGACTGTTCAAATTTATTACATTGTACCAAAGATTATGGTGACTTATCAGTGCAAGACTTGCAGTCATGGAAAACGCTTGTAAGGGCTGCCGAAATTCGGCAGTAAGCACCAATTTTAGATCTCGCCAAAGCAGTGGTTGGAGAAGAACTTCCAACCATTACGTACCACCGTAAATGCCGCAATAAATTTACTTTGAAAAGAGATCTATACAACATATGTAAAGAGAGAATTCAAGGCAATGAACCAGAATTATCAGAAAGAAGATCCTCTATTCGGGAACCCCCAACAAAAAGCACAACGTATAAACTGTAAGCTGAAAGCATTCTTCTTATCATAAATAGTAATTTATATATATATATATATATATATATATATAT